CCCCAAAACCCCAAAACCCCAAAACCCCAAAACCCCGTCTGATTGCTTTAAAATTGAACATTATTATAGATTAATTTTAATACTTGTAAAGATGGGCCAAAGCAACTGTTGTTCTGGAAAGCCTGAGTCATATACTCAAGAGCGTAAGCTTGATTGATTATCATTTAGAATCAAAAGAAGCTCTAACATGGAAAGATTCAGATGTAAGTAAATCCTGTGATAAAATGAGCAATTTTTGTCAAGTTAAGAGTATTAGACTTTGAAGAGAGCTTTGTTGATAGCATAGAAAAATATGAGTTTTAGGAATTTTAGAAAGGGAAAAGAGAGGTGAATGAGACTTAGAGGATAGAGAGGCTTTATTAATTGTCAATTGAATTAGAGGTTATGAAGTCTTTATTTACGAAGTTTCTTCTACAGATGTAAAATTTGTTGTCAAAGAAGTTTATAGAAGATACAAAAAGCAGATATTTAAAATTAATGGATGCTTTCGCGATCTAGTTTCAATTCATCAATTTTAAATTGCAAGCTTCTCTTCTCATCAGATTTTAACCTCAAGAAAACAAACCTGAAAGTTATATCAATATCTATGACAAACTGAGTATTTCTAGAATTTAGTATTAAATTAAGCGTCAGTACAAGAAGGGTAAAAATTGCATTATTTTTATTATACAATTCATCCTAAGTATAACTCTTCATTAATCCTTTTATTTTGTTAGGCTTGATCTCTTACTTTTGAAATTTCTTAAAAGCCACATTTTTATATGAAATTTCTTAAAATAAAAGATTTTGGAGATACTAACAAAACACCTTTGGTACTCAAATCCGCCAATTCGTGTCAAAGTCTGATGTTCGAGGCTAGGCAAAGAAAACCAAAATGTATATCATTTTTATAAGCGTTCAATATGTTTTGGTTGGATCAGATTGCCTTTAACACTATTTTGCTTCTCAAAATTTCGGAGGTATTCCAAGATTATAAATTTGAAAGTCAATCCAAATTATGCATCTCATTAAAGCCAAGAATTTTCTTTGAAACAATGAAAGCAAAAACTAATGTGGTTACTTAGGACATCAAAACTCTTGAAAGCAAGAAGAGTAAAGAAGGGAAAAGCAGAATGTCACAGAAATCGGTGATTTCATATACTAATAAAAGTAAATAAGATTTGATTTTGACTCATTGGATACTAATATTGATTTTAGCGAAAAATAAAAAGGGCAAGATGGCTCTTGTCAAAAGCTCTCATACCAAGAAAGCTTCAGTCGATAATCCCTTAGATTTCTCAGAAGCTATTATGAAAGAATACAAGACTGCTAAAATAAAGAAGAATCTAAATGGAAGTCTCAGGATGGCAAAGAAGAGGAAGGATAAAGGAAGGTGTTCAGCATTAGTTATGAGGATGAGTAAGTAGCCTTAATCGCATATTTAACATCTCCACTCTATTCCAGGCCCTTCTAGCGCATTTCTCATAACTGTTCTTATAGGGGAAGGATCAAATTCAAGACTCCCTCAACAATTAGACCAGTTTATTGTTCAGAATTAGAGTTCTTAACAGCCAGGTGAATTAATTTCTCCATCTATGAATATTGGGTGATAATAATTTAGTTTCAATAAAAATGAATGGTATGGGGTTTTGGGGTTTTGGGGTTTTGGGGTTTTGGGGTTTTGGGG